AAAAAAAAAAAGAAAAAACGATTTGCTGAGATTGTGAGCACCCCTCCCCCAAGGCCCCTCCCCAAATAATGGAGATGTCGCCGTTCCAATGTCCACTTTACTTGGGCACGAAATAGATTAGGGCCACAGGGAAGGGGGCAGGTGCACAGGAGAGGTAGGCTGGGATCATGGAGGCAGGCGGTGGATGTGGATGTCCACAGACGGCTCTCCCGTGGCTCCAGCCACATGGGCACCTGCAGACAGGAGTCCAGGAGCCTGGGCCTCCCGTCCCATCTGGTGGGGCCTTGCTGGAGGGCAGGGGGTGCCCGGGTCCGTCCGGGCCCCTGGTCAGTTGGTCTTGAGCCTGGGGCTCTGGAAGGCTGACAGGGTGATGAGGAACTGGGCGGCATAGTAGGTGGTCATGACCACCAGGCGGGCGTGGGGCAGCGGCTGGGCGAAGGTGTCCCAGGCCAGCACCATGTCCGAGAACGTGAAGAGCAGGACCCCCCAGCGGACGCTGCCGCCCCTGGCCAGGCCACGCCACAGCACGGAGGCCAGGACCAGGGAGTAGGCCGCCAGGGCCGGGGCCATGCTGGTGGGGAGGTGGAGTAGCAGGATGCCGGAATACGGCACGGAGACCAGCGCGATGGGCAGCAGGAGGCCTGGCCGCAGGGGACTGAGGCCGAAGGCCCAGAGGTAGAGCAGGTGGGCCACGGCGAAGGCAGCCATGCCTAGAGGAGACAGGACCTGTTGCTCCCTCGTGGCCACCTCGCAGCTCAGAGCCTGAGGGCGAGGACTGCCCCGAGCAGCAGTGTCCACCCTGGCTACATCGCCCGCATCAGCTGGCCTCCCTGGGGCAGGCTCCCCTGTCCCTGCCCTTGGCACCAGAGTGACCTTAAAAGGCACACTGCATTCCATCCTTACTCAGCTTACAACTCCCCATTTTGCTCTGCTCCCCACTTGGCTCCACCCACCCACCTGCGCTGACCACCCCAGGGCCTTTGCACTTGCCGGCTCCCTGCCTGGACCGTCCCTCCTCCCATGGCCCCTGCACTTTCTTCAAGATGTCACCTCCTTGGTGAGGCCATCCTTGACCAGCTACTCCGGACTGTAGCACCCGAAGCCCCCCTTCCTGTCCCTCCACGCCACTCACACCCTCTAAGCTCTGCCGCCCAAGCCCCCCAGGGGAAGGAGGGCTCTGTGGGAGCGGGGGTCCGTGTCTGGGTGGGGGTCCACAAGCGACCACGCAGCCCCGCTCACCATGGAGGAAGGCGTCGGGCCAGATGAGGCAGGCGTCCCCCACAGCCGAGCACAGGAGGGCCCCCTGCAGGAGCGCACGGTACCGTCTGCCCCGGCCCCCGACGTGCAGGGCCGCCGCCAGGCACAGCACTGGCAGGCACTTGACCAGGGCGCTCACCCAGGATGGCCGGTCTTGAGGGATCCAGAGGAGGAAGTGGGCAGCAGAGGTGAGGAGGAAGGGGCTCAACCGCCAGCACGGGCACGGCTGCTTTGGGAGACAAGGGGGTCACCGAGTCCCTGGAGCCCAGCCAGCTCCCGGCCCCTGGGGGGCGCGCCACGCGGCCAGGACTCGGGTCGGGGGGCTGCCACTGCACCCCCACCCGGGAACCTGGCTCGCTGTCCGCGGGGAGCCCAGCCTCCCGAGGGCGGGGATCCCAGGGCCCCCCGGTCTGGCGGGCTGCTCAGGTCCCCGGAGCCCAGGCCTAACCGCCTCCCACACCCGGTGTCTCTCACTTGGGCTGAGAGGCAAGGCCTTCCGGGCAGACCCTCTTCCCAGGCGTCCATGTCGGCCTCTGACCCCCCAGAGTGGCACGTATGTGGGCACGGGTGGCCTCGGGAGTGGAGGGGAAGCGTGTGGTTACACGTTAACCCGAGGAGCGTCCTGTGGACTCCGGGGCTGATAACAGGGCCTGGGGAGATGGCCCTGGGGATGGCCCCGCCTGACACCACTGATAAGGTGCCCACTGGGGACGCAGGGGTCCCTCCTTCCCCACGGCACCCTGCCCCCCGGCCCAGACCTGGCTTCCCCCTGCTGCCCGGGCGACGTGTGGCCATAAACGCCCCTGCCAGTGTCCCATGCCCAACCAACCAGGAGCGACCCGGTGCAGGACTCCTACACCCTCCCCTGCACCTGGGACCCTGGGGCAGGGGAGCGCCATCAGCCCCGGGCTCAGGTCAGTGGCAGGACCTCCCGGCCGGAGTGCGGGACAGGATGGAAACTCCCCAGGCCCCTGCCCACCCAGTGTCCCCCCAGCAGGCTGCCCGGGGGTCCTTCCTGTGCCCTGGCCCTGCTGTCCTCAGCTCTGGCCATCACACACCCCCCAAGGCGGCCTCCACGGACCCTCCTGAGGGAAAACGTGCTGGTGCTGAGTCGTACGAGGCCCTCACTGCGCACTGGCCGCGGCTTTGCAAGCACATCCTGCAAGCACACTCAGCCCCTCTGTAACTCCGGGTTTAGCAGGAAAGGGTTTAGCCAGGTGCCCAACTATATGCCCAACTGGTGGGCTGGCCAGCCCCAGGCACCCAGTGCTCCACCACCACAGGAGACCAGGCTCAGGGGACATCACTTCTGCAAGGTCGCCCAGCCATGAAACCCTCCCCAAGACTGGAGGCTGGCCTGGCCACCTCCTGGAGGGTGTATGGACCTGGGACACATAGGGCTGAGGGCACGAAAGGGACCTCAGGAAACAGCTCGTGGGGACCAGGCCCCAGACAAGACTGGGCAGGACTCTGCTCCTCCACCCAGGACATCCTTTCCTGGTCTGAGCACAAGCGACCCACCCTCAGCAGAGCACGGAGATCCAGGAGCCTAAGAGCTCTCTGAGGGCCACATACAGGGGCTGAGGAAGGCCTGGGGCCCCGAGGCCAGGGTGCATGGGCAGCTCAGGGCCCAGCCCAGATCCCATTATTCATGGCCAGAAGCCAGGGTGCAGGGATAGCTCAAATCCCAGCCACAGGTCCCAGAACTCAAGGTCGGAGTGGCCAGGGTGCAAGGACATTTCAGGCCCCGAGCCCCAGTTTCCAGAACTCGAGCCCGAGGCGGCCAGGGTGCAAGGATAGCTCAGGCCCCCAGCCCCAAGTCCAAGAAACAAGGCTCGAGGGGGCCAGGGTGCAGGGAGAGCCCAGACCTGCAGCCTCAGGTCCCAAACTCAAGGCCCGAGGGCAGGGTGTAGGGACAGCTCAAGCGCCCAACTCCAGGTCCCAGAACTCAAGGCCCAAGGAGGCCAGGGTGCAGGGATAGATAAAACTCCAGCCTCAGGTCCCAGAATTGAAGGCCTGAGGAGGCCAGGGTGCAGGGACAGCTCAGGTCCCCAACTCCAGGTCCCAGAACTCAAGGCCCAAGGCCAGGGTGCAGGGACAGCTCAGGCCCAGAACCCCAGGTCCCAGAACTCAAAGCCCCAGGAACCCAGGGTACAGGGTCAGCTCAGCCTCCCAGCCCCAGGTCCCAGAACTCGAGACCCGAGGAGGCCAGGGTACAGGGACATCTCAGGTCCCCAGCCCTAGGTCCCAGAACTCAAAGCCCGAGGCCAGGGTGCAGGGACAGCTCAGGTCCCCAGTCCCAGGTCCCAGAATTCAAAATCCAAAGAGGCCAGAGTACACAGATAGCATGGGCCCGCAGTCCCACGACCCAGAACTCAAGGCCCGAGGAGTCCATGGTGTAAGGACAGCTCAGGCCTAGCCCCAGGTCCCAGAACTCATGGCCTGAGGCCAGGGTGCAGGGAGAGCTCAGGTCCCCAGCCCCAGGTCCCGGATATCAAGGCGTGAAGCCAGGGTGCACGGACAGCTCAGATCCCGGGCCCAGGTCCCAGAACTCAAGGTCCGAGGCCAGGGTGCAGGGACAACTCAGGCCCCCGGGCCGTGCCCCAGAATTCAAGGCCTGAGGAGTCCAGGGTGCAAGGACAGCCCAGGTCCCCATCCCCAGATCCCATTATTCAAAACCCGAAGCCAGGGTACAGGGACAGCTCAAACCCCAGCTCCACGTCGAAGAACAGAAGGCCCCAGGAAGCCAGGGTGCAGGGACAGCTCAGGCCCCCAGCCCCAGGTCCCAGAACTCACAGTCTGAGCAGGAATCTTAAACGATCTTTATTTATTTATATTTGCAATATGAAATAGAAGCTCAGCACGAACACACACACACTCACACCAGCCTGGGGAGAGGGAGCTGGGACAAGGTCACTTGGCAGCTGGGCTGGACCCCAGATCCTTGGGCACGGGAAGGGGACCCCAGCCGGACCCTTGCCAACCCCCCGCCCCGGGGCCCATGGGAGGTGTGGGGGGTGGGGGGGGCGGTCTCAGTGAGTGCATTGGGGCCCCATGGGAATGTCACCGGGGAGACCCCCTTGGACGGGGACCGCCAGCTCCCATAGAGCCAACAGGGCCAGGCAGAGGGTCCTTTATCTCCCAGCCTGGGTCAAAGTGCAGGGTCCAGGGCAAGGGTTTGGGCAAAGGCACGGCCCCCACTCGAGCCCTCCCCAGAGGTGGGCCTGGGCCGAGTGTGGGTGTGGGCATCTGCACCGGAGGCTGGGGCATGGTGGGAGGGGAGGGCAGACAATGACCTTGGGACCCCAACAGAGCCCCCACCGAGATGGGATGAAGGTCTCACCCGCTGCCCGCCCGGCCGGGCCTCCTCCTGGCTCTCCACCCACCCGCTCTCTCTCTATATATAATATATAATATAGGTCTCTCTCTCTCTCCTTTCTCTCTATTCAATTGTTTCTTTATTCTAGGAGACAAAACTCCATAATTTCTTTTCTCAGTGCAAATGGGGGTGGGTAGGGGCCTGACTCCCTGGCACCTGGCTCCTGGGAGTCCAGAAGAGAGAACGTGGGGGCAGACAAGGTGGGGATGGGGTGATGGGGCAACAGGGCCATCGTGGGACCCGCCCTGCCCCCACTCGGGCAAGGTCCGCGTGGAGTATGGAGGATTTAGCCGCCACCACCGGGACCAGGCAGTTACCTGGGAACCAAGAGGGAGACCCATGTGAGGAACCTGCTGCCCCGAGGCCCCCCACCTGCCCAGCCCCAGCCCATCTGCTACCCACCCAGCCCTTGCCACTCACTGGGAGCCCAGGGGTGCTGGCCCTCCCGGGGCAGAGCCATTGGGCATCGGAGGCGGCTCGAGGGCCTGGGCACTGCCAGGGGAGAGGGACACAGAAAGGTCAGGGCCTCCGCCACAGGACACCAGCAGCCCTGGGAGGCCGCCCTGCACTCACCTCTGGCTCTGGGGGAGCCCCGAGGGCTCTGGGCTCTTCTCCCCCTCCGTGGTCTGGGGGTGCTGGCAGGCCCCGGGGGCTGGAACAGAGGTAGCAGGGTCTCTGGTTGCACTGCGGGGGCGGCGGGGTACGTGGGTATCAGCAGGGTTATCAGCACCGAAACCCTCCTCACCCCTAAGCCCCTTCGTGCCTGCAGGGAAGTGCGTGGCCAGGACGGTCCGTCCCATCAGAGACCCCGGGAGCCACCGCAGGCAGGAGGAGCTCAAGGTGGGCTCCACATACTGCCTGCCCCCCTTCTGGAAGCCCTTCTGCCCCTGGGGCTGAGTGGGGAGCCCTGAGCTCCAGGGGCCTCCGGGGCACCCACACGTGGGCCTGGGCACAGCACCGGCCCCTCGGCCGCCACGGGGTGCCGAGGCAGTGCCTCAGACCTGGGGGTCCCACCAGGGCCCCGGAGAGCAGCTGTGGGGCCGGGCCCACCCAGGCCTCCCCGAGAGCAGCTGCTCCCCAGCCGGTCACCTGTCCAGGGAGCTGGGGGTGGAGCGCGTCCCTCTGAGTGTGGCCTGGAGGTCCCCGAAGCCGACCAAGGCCTGGCAGGGGGCTGTGCAAGAGAGAGGCCAGGACACGCCGGGCTCAGCGCGGCAAGCGCGCAAGGCCAGGGCGCGAGGGGAGAGCGGGCGGGGCTGGGTGGCGGCGCTCACCCGAGGGCTCTGCTACTTGGCTGCCGTCTGTGGCTTCCTGAGGTGCTGACAGGGACGCGGGGTCCTGAGACCTGAGGGGAGAGAGGCAGCCCGAGGGCCAGCTGGGGTCCATGCTCCAGCCCAAGGGACCCAGGCCGGGCGCCCACCAGCGGCCTCACCTGAGCTGCAGGGCGGTGCGGGCCGCAGGGCCGGCCGGGCTCAGGGCGGGGAGGCCCCGGGGTACGCCGAGGGACCCCTGTGGGGCGAGAAGCCCGGGGCTCGGCTCCTTCTCCCCAGAGTCTCGGGGGCCGGTCGGGGCGTCTGTAGGCACTGGGTCAAAGGTGGCTGTCCAGCTGGGGCCTGGCGGGGGGGCGGGGAGCGGGGTGAGCACAGGAGGCAGCCAGCCCGCCTGCATCCCGCCGCGCCCCCCGTGCCTTCACCCACCCGGAGGCTGGGGGCCGGGGCTAGGCTGCGAGGGGGGCCCGGTCCCCCCACCAGCCGCACGGCCATCGCCGTCATCCTCGTCGTCCTCGTCGTCCTCCTCGCTGTCTGTGCTGCCTCCACTCCTGCCCGGAAACCACCGTCAGCTGCTGCGCTGACACAGGGATGGCGGGGGCGGGGGTGGGGGCGGGGACAGGCCGGTCGGGGCCTCCCTGGGAGGCGTGGGAGGGCAGGTGGGACCTCCGCCTCGTCCCGGAGGCTCCCCCTGAGGGCTGAGGGCCGACCCGACACTCCCCCTCCGCCTCGGGCGGCCCGAGGGCAACGTCCAGCACGAGCAGGCGCTCCACCACCGCGGCCTAAACGTGGACTGAGGCACGGCCCGAGCCCGTGGGGAAGGCCCATCTGGCCCACACGTCCCCCAGCCAGGGAGCGGCTGAGCAAACCACGTGGCCGCTAAGAGCCGGCCGCCCGCCGTCTTTACAGTTACTGACAGGAGAGGAACCCACGGGGACGCCGCTGAACATGGTCGATGATGCACAAAGACACTCAGCAGACGGGAGGAGAGAAGGGGCATCTCCCAAACCCACAACCCACATCACATCAGTGCTGGAAGACCCACTGTCCCCCCAGGGTCAGGGGCAACACAGGGGCCTCCTCTGCTCGGGACCGCAAGGACACAAGAACGCGACGTGAAGAGCCTCCAGACCAGAAAAGAAGGAGTGAAACCCTGTTTGCAGATGGCCTGACTGTAGACCGAAGACCCCAAGGAATCCGTTAACTGTTACAGTGAATGAGTCTGCAAAGCCCAACGTCGATGTACAAACATCCACCGTGTTTCTGTACGCTTGGGAAATCTCAAAGTTCCACCTACGTAAAATACGCAGGAAAAACTTGAACAAAGGAAGCACAAAGCCCATTCTCTAAAAAAGACCTAAGTAAATGGAAGGATGTTGCACGCTCAGGGACTGGAAGATGGAATGCGGGTCCCAGGTCCCCGGGCTGACACAGCTTCAGGGCAAGCCCTCCCAATCCCAGCCAGCTTCCCTGCTCAAGTTAACCTGCTGATCCTAACAGTCCCACGGACTCTCGAGGGGCCCCAAGCAGACAGCCACGTCGGAGGACTCACTTCCCGATCTCAAGCCCTACTACGGCACCTGTCGAGACAGGGAGGTCCCAGAGCGGCCAGGAGCCAAGCCGCGCGCGTGCAGCCAAGTGCTTCTGGCCAGGGCACCGAGCGCACTTGGAGGGGAGGGGCCGGCATTCGCACCTGCAGGGGGAGCCGGACCCCGCCTCGCCCCACACACAAGACCGCAGGCCAAAACGGGACTGAGAAGTGAAAAGCAAGGGGTGGGAGGATGGGTTGGCCTGGTGGTGGGTATTGAGGAGGGCACGTTCTGCATGGAGCACTGGGTGTTGTGCACGAACAATGAATCATGGAA